GTTTTCAATATTTTGGTTTAAAAAAAAAGGGGATTTTTAAAATTTCTTAATGGTTTTTCTGGAATGGATAATTATTAATAATTCCTGCAGTTCCAAGGTACCTCAACTGAAGGAAAAAATATTATTAAATATAAATTTATTCCAGGGATTTATCTGATTTATTCCTGAGTTTATCCCGATTTATTCCTCGGGAATTTTCACCACAAATCCCTCGCCTCATCCCTTTCTTATTTCTTTATATAAAAACGATTTTAATCCCAAAAATTTAATCAGGATTCCCTCAAAAAAATCCGGAATTTGGCTTTTAGAACGTAAAATCGGGGGTTTTTTTTTAATTTTTTATTTTTTCACCTTCCAGCCTTTCCCTCCCTCACAGAGCACAATTAATTAAATTTAATAAATTTGGAATTCTCAAATCACGAGCTGCTGGGAGAGGTAAGGAAGGAATAAGGGGTTTTCCCAAATAATTTTATTTTTTATAGGAAAATTAAAAGGTGGGATCCGGGCCGGTTATCCCAAGGTTGGAATCGCGGAATTCCCGAATTTCTGAGGGGAATTCGCGCCATTTCTCCCCTCACAAACTCCGCCATGTTTGGGGCCTGCTCGCGCCCTCAGCGCAGCGGGCCCCGCCCCACCCGTGCCCGCCCCCTCCTGGGCGGGCTCTGAGGGCCGCGCCCCTCACGCCGGGGTATTTATAACCTCGGAAAGGGGTGAAAATCCCGCGACATCTCGCGAGATTTTCTGCGCCGCCATTGTTGTTTACGCTCTTTCTCTGTGACGTCATCGCTGTGCGACGAGCGGGGATTTGGGGACCCCCGGGGGGGATTTGGGGACCCCCGGGAAGGCCCCAAAAAAACCCCAAAAATTCCTCATTTGTCCCCATTTCCATCCCTGCGCTGGTGGCCCCAAGGCGGGGCAGCCCCGAGCCCTCTGGGGGGGCTTTGAGGGTCCCGTGTCCCCCCCCCCCCATTTTTGTGGGGTTTTGGTTCCCCCCGTTCAATGGATTTGGGGGAAAATGGATCCCAAATCGGGGGAATAAAAATCCCAAATTCAGGGAATAAAAAATCCCAAACCCAGGGAATAAAAAATCCCAAATTCAGGGAATAAAAAATCCCAAATCCGGGGAATAAAAAATCTCAAATTCAGGGAATAAAAGATCCCAAATCTCTGAATTTATGGGTTCTCTATTCCCCGGATTTGGGATTTTTCATTCCCCGGATTTGGGATCCCCCGTCCTTTAATTTGGGCTCAGGACTCTCAAAAAAAAAATAAAAAATAAAAAATAAAATAAAAATCCCAGGAATTCCAGGAATTCGCTTTTTTTCCAGGTGTTTGGGTTTTGTTCAGCGCCCAAGAAAATTCTCTGCAATTCCTGGAAATCGCTTTTATTTCACCCCCAAAAAAATCCAAAAATCCCCTCAGGGATCTCCCCAAAAATTAAAATAAGTAAATAAATAAATAAATAAATAAATAAATAAATAAATAAATAAATAAATAAATCCCCGTCTGGAATTGCAGGAATTCTTTTTCCCAGGTTTTAATTTTTATTCTTATTTTTATTCTTATTCTTTTTATTTTATTTAATTTTTATTTTCATTTCATTTCATTTCACTTTATTTTATTTTATTTTCATTTTATTTTATTTTATTTTATTTTATTTTATTTCATTTCATTATATTTCATTTCATTTCATTATATTTAATTTAATTTAATTTAATTTTATTGTATTTTATTTTATTTTATTTCCAATCCAATCCCATCCCGCCCCCGCCATGCCCCCTCCTCCCCCCCGCTGATTTTATTTCCATTTTTTTCCGCGGATTTTTTGGGGAAAAAAAACCCAAAAAAAAAAAAAAAAAAACCAAAAAACCCCAAAATCCCAAAATGCGGACTCGGGAGCGGCTGCGGCCGCTGCTGCTGGCGCTGCTCGGGCTCGGCCCAGGTGAGTGGGGAACCCCCAGAAAATTCCAATTTCATTTTTATTCCGCATCGATTCGGGCTGGGGATGAGCAGAGCAGGGAAACAAATCCGGGATCCTCAGCCCAGGGGCTTTAGGAACCCGCGCCGAGTGCGGCTCTCAGGGGATTCCTCTCCGCTTTATTTTTATTTCTTTGGGTTCATTTTTATTTCTTTATTATTTATTTTTATTTGGGGGATGTTTTTATGGTTTGGGATGATCAGAGCAGGAAAAATC